TATAGTTAAGATATTTTTAAAAAATATTTAATAAGGTATTTAATTTTTTAAATTAGTGGTTATTTGCTTTCAAAAACTGTTATAATGTAGTACAATGTACTACCGGTAGTATGGCATGCTGCTATCTATTAATAATAATAACAATTCTAAAGAAAATCTTCAAAAGCCCAAATTATGGTCTAGCCTTTTCTCAAAATTATCTAGAGAGAAGGCTACTTATTCTACATTCTCACCTGAACAAATATTAGAACAAAAAACAACAATACTCTGCTCTAATCTTTGACATTCAAGATATCAAGAATATTCTAATTAATAAAATTTTGACCATACTTCACAGTAAGATAGGCTCAGAAGTGGTGGGTGTAAAGCCACACTTAACTAAAGGGACACTCTTACACTTAGAGATTGTATTCACAGATGCTCAAACCATGAAGAAATATGCTTCTAAAGTAATCTCAATGCTTGAGCAAACCTTCTATGGCTATATTTTGACTAGATTAAACTGATCGTTTCTCTTAGTCAAGTTGCAAAATGTACCTATAGCTAGCAAAGATATTATCTCAGAAGAAATTAAAGAAGCATTTCAAGACCTGGGCCATATAGCCTCTATTAGGCCTTTACTATATGAAAGAACTTCCTTCTTATCTGATTAATGGGTTATTGTTTTTGAAACAACCAATGGCCCTCATTGAAAAATAAAAGTCCTCATTATACTTATATTAGGGACCAGAAAATAACACCCAAGTGGAGATCAGCCCCCCCAAGGTTTGCTACTTCTGTGACAAGGAGGGGCATATAAAAAAAGAATGTATAGAATTTATCTAAGCTGTTAAACTTTGACAGAGCTATAAACTGTATAAAGAGATGAAACAAAGAACACAACAAGAAGAATCAGACAATGCTTATATAGCATCTAACAACACAAAAGTTGAAGAGGGAAGTTATATGGATGAAATATCATTCTATAACCCTCAAGAAACATTAGAAAGCATGGTCTAGAATGAATATACTGAAGAGACTAACTATTCAGTTTTCAAGAAAAATAAATACTCAGGTCAAGTCTCCAGAAACTTTAAATAAAAGCTATACAAACGATGTATCAGGACAGGTAGAAAAAATTCTTGTGTCTAACAACCATGAGTCGAGCAACCCTACAATCAACAAAGTGCTCTGGCTAATCAAACCATGACAGATGATGGCTTTATTAAAGTTACAGGCAAGAAAAAGAAAGGTCCAAACTGAGGTGTTAAAAAAAAGTCAAACAGGATATATCCCTACAAAAAAACTAAATATAAAAAATAAGTGGGAAAACTTTAATCAATATTGCAACTCTAAATGTCAAGGGGCTCAACAGCTATAACAAATGTAATAAGACCTTTACTTTACTTAAAAGTTATAATTTGGATATTATTTTAATTCAAGAGACAAATACTAACAAAGAAAGAGCTAGAACTTATTTGAAACAATTATGGCTATATGATTCCTATTAGTTAACTAAGATAGCAATATTAGCAGGAAATAGTAAAAAATCAAACTAGAAAAATATTAATGAATTATTAGATAGGTGGGTAATAAGGATGCTAACATTTATTACCTAATATCCATTTACTATAGAGGCTTACCCCCCTAGTAAGATATTTAGCTAAATTTAATTGGCTATAATTGTTTTATATAAGGTAAGGTTTTGCTTAACCCCCCATCCTCTAAAATATTACCTAATAAATGTTAGCATCCTAAGAGCAAACATTATATTCAGACATATCTATTTCTAAGTAATGAATGTTTACGCACCCCTAATATAGCAGATAGATTATCCTTTCTAAACAGGTAGTCTCTTTTCATCAATAGTGATGCAGTCAATATAGTTGCTGGTGATTTTAATGTAAACTTAAATCTAGACAACAACAAATTAAGCCAAGCTTCAGCACATAGTAACTCTACAAGAGATAAGTTAGATTAGTGTTAGAATTTACAAACACTGCAAATCTAATGAGCATAAAACTATTCATAACATTTCATTAGAAGGTTAAAAACAATTGAACAATGGCAACTAGGTTAGATTATATTCTTATAGATGATGAATATGCGCATCTATGTAAAAAAACAGAGAAAAAGTTTGGCAACTTGGACTATCTGCTAGTTTGTTGTGAGCTCTGGCACAGTTCTTCCACAACAATCCCAGCAATCTGGAATTAAATATAAGTGATCTGCAAAATTCTAGAATCAGATAAGAAGTGGAGAAAGAGATTAAAAGTATTGGGTTTAGCTTGGACTAGGATTTTGATAAACTTAAAACACAATCTATTATCCAGGCCTTCAGACCCTTGTCTAAAACAGAATCGTGTATAAAGAAATTGAATAAAAAAATAACAGACCTCAAAAATAGAATGGCACAAAACCCTACCTTAATTGATCTAAATATCACAATATCCTACTTTAAAAAGGATTTACAAACTGAACTATCTAAACTTGCTACAAATTGGCAAATCAAATCTAAGGTTAAATAGTTAGAGAAAAAAAAAAAGTCAAAATATTTCTTTAATAGATACAAAATTAGACATGAAAGTTCTGTAATAGCAAAAATTCAAATACTTGATTCTCCAGCCACTGTAGACCCTTTAACTATTCTAGATTACATAAGATCTCAATATGAAGCTATTTTTAAAAAAGACCCACTAAAAAAAATTTTCAACAACATCTTAAATTCAGGTCATATTCCTGATTTATGGTATAAGAGTTTAATTACTTTAATTCCAAAAAATTAGAGTCCCTTGAAAATCTAAACAATTGGAAACCAATTGCATTAGTGAATAGCAATGCAAAAATCTTTCTAAAAATATTAGCATCTTGGCTAAATCCAATCTGTTAGAAGATAATAGGAGTATATCAACAGGGCTTTATAAATAGGAGATATATTATTGATACAGCTTTAGATATTATTACCATGATGCAAAAGCAGAAAGACCCATCCAAATTAGAATGGCTTTTATTTCTAGATCAGAAAAAAGCTTTTGACAGAGTCAATCATGAATACTTACAAATAGTTCTAGAGAGAATAGGGTTTGACTTTACATTTAGAAGGCTGGTAAATAACTTGTTCGCAAGGCAAATGGCGCATATATATAATGCAGGCAAGCTTTCCACATCATTCAGAGTCAAAAGAGAAGTTAGACTCGGTGTCTCTCTTTCTCCACTTCTATATATTATCTCCTTTGAACCTTTCTTGAGAGCACTAACTCATGATCTTGAGGGTATAACACTTAAAAAGCATTAAATTTAAAGTTGTAGCTTACGCAGATGATATAACTATTGGGGTGGGATCACTTAATGACTGGACAAATTTTAACCAAATAATAGCTCATTATGAAAATGTATCTAACACAGCAATAATCCACTCTTGTTATCCTTTCAGATAATGTATCATACACAAAGCTCCCAGGGGATAAAAATTTCACCAAATTAAAAGACAATAAATCAATCAAAATTCTCAGCCATAAAATTAACAATAAAGGTCAACCTAACAAGAATATTTGGAAGCAGCTCACACAAAAAATTAAAAAGGAAGCGGAGAGAATGAACAAGTGCAACCTATCGTTCCATGGAAGAATTTTAGTTGCTAAATTGCTCCTGCTATCAAAAGTTTGGTACACAGCCTATATACTACCTCCAACCAGAAAACAACTAAGTGAAATAAGTGATATTATAACAAAATGGATCAAAAATAGCTCTAAAATTCTGCTGAGATTCTCAATTTTTCAGCAGGAATATGAACAGAATGGCTTGAAAGCTCCTGTACTTCCCGACATGTTAGATGCGAGATTAATCTCAATCTGGTTGAAATTGTTAACAAGTCAAAACTTCAGGGCTAGGATGGAGAAAAAAGACATAGATATAAGTTTATGTTTCAAACAAAATAAAACGGTTGAGGAGACACTTGCTGCACTGGTCATCAGACTTAGGGCCTGGCCCTGTGAATGGAAACCTTACCTCTCAGCATGGAGAAGAATCCAAGAAAAAGTCCCCCCTCATTAGGTAGATGGCCATGGAACATTAACTCAATAGAAGTTATGGACTCAAAAGGAGATAACTTTACAGTTGCCAGTGCAACAGAATTTTTAAGAAAAAAGTCAATTACACCTACACTTTCACAAGCTAACCTATTTAGTATTAGTGATAGAAAAGAAAACTGGGCCTGGTCACGTATAAAGTGGATTCCTAATAAGAAAAAGGATATCTTCTGGCACATGATGCAACAATGCTTTACTTATAGATCGTAGAATGGTTCATGTCTCTCTGGAATCAATAAACTGTCCTTGGTGCCAAGATGAGATACAAACACTTGATCACTTTGTTTTAAAGTGCAAAATCAGTAAAATGATCTGGAAAGTGGCGTACAACTTTTTTGGAATCTCGCAAGAAGTCAGACTACCTGAAACAATAGAAACAGTCATAACAGCTGAGAATAAGAAACCTCAACAAACCTATTCAATAATGGTCTGGCTACATATCAACATAATCTACGAAATTTGGTACTGGTTTGTTAATGGGAAATGGAGCAACAATCCCCGCCAATACCAGCGTTACCTTTTATCCTTAAAGACCGAATGACAAGAAAAATTCGAGCACTATTGGCAAGCAAGAAGCTACGTAATAAAGAAAGAATTTTTTTACCCAAATCTGTAAATTAAACAATCTAATAACTGAATGTATTAATACGTAAATGTAATAACTAAATATAAGCACACACATTAATAAACAGCGTCACATGACGTCCCATCATGTACGTTCTGAGAGGCGAATCTCACCTATATTATTATTATTATTAGATAGTATCCGCCCCATTTCATTTTTTTTTATTATATTGTTATATGTTTTTTTTTTCTCTTATTTTGCCCGGGTCTCTTCCCTATATGGAAGGACCTATGCATCCTAAACTTGATCCAAAGATCAAGTTGTCCTTTTTAATTAGGCCATTACGGCACTTTGGTACTATTAGCTCATTCTGAACAACTTATTAGTATATGACGTTCTTGACTGTAAAAATTGGTACTTCCCAGTACCATACTTTGCCCTTGGTACCAAATTATGTCATATTAACATCAAAAACTGCGTCAGACCACCCAAGACGCAGTAATGTAAAAAAGTATTTAAAGCGAATTTTCGCAATTGAAATAAACTCAGTCCAGTTTGTGTGAAAAAAGAAAAGAACTCAAGTTGAGTTAAGTTATTGAAGACCTTTGAAGTAATAGAAGTCAAAGTAGTGACTTATTGAAAATTGTTACCTTTCGTCCGTCAGTTGTGAATTTCATATTTCTAAAATAAATCCAGTGTTATACATACAGTCTAAGCCCCGATACTTGTAAAAACTTGAATTATAATAAACAAATAGTACATAGAAAGAATTAATAAAAGAATAATACCCATTATCCGCTTTATATAGAGAAAATACCCGAATTAGGTCTAAAACCCATTGTTACCGAAAATCATCCAACAATTAAAGGCTAGCCCGTGACCTCATTATTGTTACATATTAATTGATCTGATCATCCAAAATTCCCGTGACGTACCCGTGACACATCAATTAATTGAAATCCGATCTCCGTCGATAATTCTACCCGTGACGTAAAAATTGATCATCGATCTAAGCCGAATATTAAATTACCGATCGACATATCGTGATTACGTAACACGTGATCGAAGCTAGTAATACTTCCGGAACAGAAGAGTTGAAGAATTAGAGAATTAGTATAGTGTTGAATAATTCAAAAGACAATAGGATCAATTATACCAAAAATAGAAAGAAACTTTAATACTTTCCGAAGAATCACCATAAGGTCAACAGCTCTAAGAACTCGGACCAAGTTTATCCACGCCTCTTTTCGAAGCCTGCCACCTTGGACTTTCGATCTTATCGATACTTTGGATTATTGTTGAGTTGTAAATTAGTTAGATTAGAGTGTGTTTAGAGTAGTTAGAGTAGTTTAAGACCCGCAATACCCGAAATATTCAATTTCCGAATTAATTTAGCCTATCTCAACGTACAACATCAAGTTAAATAAATAAAAAAAAAAAAAAAAAAAAAAAAAAAAAAAAAAAACGATACACAAACTTAGGTCAAAATTTAAACAGCAACTACGTGCATTATTTTGGTGGCGATACTAGTTGGGTACGTATCTTACGTTGAAAAAAGATTTTGACGGTCTTTTTGCAATGTGTTAGATAGTAAATGAATATTTTCAAATAAATTGCGAAATTAATATTCTACCTGATTTGAATCTGCTGCTTTGTGAATCTCAACTTAAACTCAGAAATAAATCGATTAATAATTAGTTGTAATTCTTACCTAAATTAATGATATTTAAATAAGCGCATAGGTGCTCTCATAGCTTATCCAATGAATGAACTACGGGAAATGATAACTCCTAAATACCAATATTTTATCTGAAAAAAATTTATTGCAAATATGATATAAACCATTGACTAATTTTAAATTCTAACCTTAATTAAAATTTAAACAATATAAAGTATCCGCAAATTAATAACTATGTATTAAATACACTTATAAAAGTAAAATTTTTTAAAAATTATATATATTAAAAATAAAAATTTATATTAAGTTCCAATGACAGAATTTTTGAAGCTTTATTGTAATAAGTTGATATGATCTTAAAATATTAATATAAACTTTTAATAAATTATTTAGTTCCAATAAACCAAACTTTGTCTAATTTAATATAGGTTTATATAATTCTGATATTTTGAGATTTATTACTAAGTTGCTTTGTTATTAAAAAATTTAAATAAAATCTATTCAGCATCATTGCCTTCTACAAAGATCAAAGCAGTTATAGTTAAATTTATAATAAAATTTTTACTAGTATAAATCAGTAGGTGGAAATTATTAGTACATACGTGAAATATTATCAAAATAGTCGTCAGAAATTGAAAAGTCACAGATAGCAGAGTCTAAAAATTAAAAGTAATTAAAATTTTTATCAATAAAAATCGATCACAATATAATGAAAGCATTTGGTTTACCATAATAATTTGATAATATTACAGGTGAAATAATCGAAGAATTAATTGGCTTAGGAAGTTTATTGAAATCGAGCAGTTTACTTGTAAGTTTATCGTTAGGATGAATTGCCAATTCAGTTGATAATGCTGGAATAATTGTATCTGCAAATTGGAATGCTTTTAATGTTGCTAATTCATCTTCATCTTCTACATAATAATTATCATATACTATATCAAACCACCGATTCAATTCACAGTATATATCATATGCAGATGGTCTATCAGAAGGATTGGCATCCATACATTGATTTGCTAATTTGATATAGCATTCAGGAGTGCCTTTAGTAAATTCAGGACGTAATCCATTACATATTTGAATAGCTAACGCTTCATCATACTCAGCATCATGATGAGGTGGTTTTCCTGTAGACATTTCAGTCATAATAATACCAAAACTATAAATATCTGCATCTTCTGTATATGGTCGTTTATGTAACACTTCTGTGGCAACATAAGGTAAAACACCATAAATGTTATCCTCTAAATCTAATTCATCTTTATTTCTAGATAATCCTAGATCTGCGATATAAGACATTATATCACCATTGATATATTGATTTTGCAATATATTACCACTATGAAAATCTCCGTGAACATAATTTGCGTTGTGAACTTTCTTTAAATTTCTTGCTATATCGACAAGTTGCTTTAATTTACTTTCCCAATTAATATCTCTAAAATTTGATAATAGAACCTTATGAAGACTTCCTTTGTTTGCATATTGAAATACTATCAAATATTCATTATTGGTTGTGTTTTGAGTTAGTCCATACACCTCAAGATTATTACCAACTAATCTAAATTCTGTATAACTTATAAACTTGTTAAATAAATTTATAACATTAGTAATTTATTTATATTAGGTTTTAAGTAAAACATCCTAACTTACTTCTCTTAAAAAATTCTTTTGTGAACCAGGTAATGTCTTAAGTGCAACTACACATGATGGTGTACGTGTGTTTTTCTAATACATCTGAAACTATTCTTTTACCATCTAACCATGTTACTGAATACACGGAGCCAAATCCCCCTTCACCAATCTTTTGAATGTTATCCAACTTATTAAAAGGAATCCATTCAATTACATTTTCATACGAAGCAGCTTTAAGCTGAAGCCCTTTAATGCAATTATCGACATCCTTGTTTCCACTCGTCCATTCTTGCATTGTTTTTTGAGGGTCACATGTCTGACACCAA